GGGGGGGGGGGCGGGTACTGCGCGGGGCCCGGCCCGCTCCACTGGCCCAGGGGCTGCTCGGCGCCGTAGGGGCCGTAGATGTGGTGGCCGATGACCCCCGGCTTCCCGGCCTGGGCCACGGACATGCTGAGGGCCCCGGCGTAGTCCTGGTGGGCCGCCGGGGGCTGGCCGCCGCACTGGGAGGGGCCCGCGTCCGGCGCCCGGGGCTTGGCGGAGTCGTGGGAGGGGTCGGGGACGGTGGCCACGTCGGGGACCCGGGACTCGAAGCTGCCGCGGCCAGACCCGCTCCCGGAGCTGGTGGAGGGGGACGGGGACTTCCCGTAGTCCTGGGGCCTGCGACAAATAAAGAAAATGGCGGTTGGTGTTCTCCCCATTCAACTGGATTTTTCATCACGCCACTTCTCCTCCTGTTACCTGTAGGGCTGGTAGGACGGCGGGGCGGGGACCAGCTGCTCCGCGTTGTACAGGTCCCGGCCGTCCACCGCGGCCGGAGAGTCCGTCCTCACGTTCTGCTCCCGTCCGGCCCCCCACGGGGAGTACCGCTCCTCCTTCACGGCCTCGCCGTCTTTCCCTTTGGGCAGCTCCACCTCGTCCCCTTCGTAGCTGTCGTACGCCGACGGGCAGAAATCTGAAAGGCATCAGCCGTTAGATATGTGTGCGGATATGGCTGAAGACTCAGGTTAAAGAGAGAGAGAGGATAAGGTGGTACCTTCTGGACTGTCCTCTTTTGTGCTCCGATTCAAACCGTCCGGCACCTTGGATCTTTTCTCAAAGCATGATGACGGGGCCTTGTTTGCACGCCTGCACAGGAGGATGAGTTAGTTAAAAAACAACAACTCAGAAATTAGAATAATCAGCCGTTTTACGAAACCCACCTTTTTCTGTTGGTTCCTTCATCCCTGAAACCCTTTGCAAATGGGTTGTGATCGATCTTCAGCTTTGTAATCTGCAGTTAAAAAACACATTTTCGAAATCATTTCAAGCCCCGGCTGAGCTCAGGGCGGGCTTTTTTGAGCGGGCTCTGCCGGGGCGGACGCTCACTCTGGTGTTCTGGTAGGCGGTCACTGCCGTGAAGGAGGTCTCGGGGAAGGTGAAGGTCTGGAAGACGCTCCAGCGGACGCTGAACAGGTCGTCGGCCTGGACCACGTGGAAGCGCGGGTGGTAGCGGTGCATGGAGTGCAGGATGATCTGCGGGAAAGGGGAGACAGTGGAAGTTAAAAACCACAGTCTTTCCTCTGATTGGACCATCAGCCCACGCCGGCCCCCCGGACTCACGTGGCCGTGCTGGTCCAGCGTGTTGTTGGTCAGCTTGAGCTTGAGGAAGGAGATGCCCTGCTTCATCCAGTGGCTGCCCGGGGCCGGGGAGTCCGGGTGGACGTAGGTCCGGCACGGAGGCTGGGGCTCGGCTTTTCCGGCCACCTCCCACTTCTCTTTATTCCACTGGAGGGGGGGGGGGAGACGGACGGGTGAGTAAATCTGTCCTCCAGGAAGGTGATTTACACAAGAAACTTCATCTTCCACAGCTTCCCATGATAGTGTAGGGGGCCCATACCACCCACATAGATAGGGGGTAGTACAGTTAGCTCCCGGTAGGGGATAGAAAAACAGGAAGAGATAACAGCCTTTGATGTACAACGTCAGGAGAGGGGCTGTGATAAAGAGAGGGGAAAATTCTCTGGGGATAATTGTAACGACTTAACAGATATCCAGAGCCAAAGCGGACCTTACCTTGTACCTGAAACCATCCTCAGGGACCATGTCGACCAGTAAGATGTACTTTGCACATGGGATAAGGCCAAACAGGCTCACTTTGCAGTGTGGAAACATCCTCCTGAGAGGAAAAAAGAAAAGTGAGGACAGGCACCAGCAAAATGTGGGGTCAGAGACGGTCACGCTTCACTCACCTCCCCGGCTTGGTGATGATCATTTCTGTCCCGATTCCGTGGAAAGTCTTCCAGAGCTCGGGGTCCTCCAGAGTCATCCTGATGTTGCCCTGGAGATAGGCTTCGGCGCCGGCGGCCATGGCGCCGGGAGGAGGGCCGCTGAAGTTGGACTTCAAGTCTGGAAGAAAAAACCACATTTGGCTTAAATGGAGCGACCCTAAAGCCTGGACACAACGAATCTGTGGTCAGGACTGACGTGGGCTGAGGAAAGCAGGGCTCCTCCTGGCAGTCAAAGCCCTGTTGGCGCTCACCTCTAATGGACTGCATTCTTCAGGGTCAGCAGCAGCTGAGGAAAAACTTGAAAAAAGGACTTTCTCATCAAACGCTGACAGGCATTCCGGGTTTCAGCCAAATCCAAAATGTGACCTGAGCTCAGCGCTCGGCCTTCCAGCTCAAACGTGAAGGAGGAAAATCCAGGGTGGTCAGAAAGCTCCGTCCAGTCCAGGCAAACAGTTATCAGAGACGCAGCGGCAGGAGAGGGTGGCCATGACTTTTAAGGGGAACCCTGGAGTAGGTGGGGCCAGGAGGGCCGTTCCCAGGCTTTGAAGTGGCACAATGATGAGTCGGAGCCCCGCTGTGATTGGAGGCTGCTGGAAATCAAAGAGACTTAACAGAGCCTTGATACCGTCCCCACAGGAAGGGGGATGGAGGAAATGCATCTTTATTAACTGCTAAGAGACTTTAAAACAAATATGGATGGACTTCCACGCCTGTAGATCCGATCTGGCAGCGGCACCAGGGGCCGTGTGGACGTCCCTCACATGCACAGATCACACACTATCAGGCCATTTCAATCATTGCAACGTGGTGAGATTAACCCGACCAGCAGAGAAAGCACCAGTAGATTATATTTCCTTACAGATCCATGTTTTTAAAGAGATTTATCTGAACTGATGTATGAAGCCTGTGTGTGTGGAATACATGAGCATGAGTCTGGACACAGAGGAGACTATAAAGTGCATGAGGGTGTGCTTTCTTTTTTTATTTTTTGCAGCATAACTTTCTCCCCCAAATGACAGAATGGGTGGGAAACCCGGTGTAAACCCATAATGGTGTGTTGATAACGTCCCCTCTTTCTCCAGGTAGCTTCTACCTGAGGGCGTCCCAGGAGAGGCTGATGGCCGACGGTCAGGCCGCTTGTGTATTGGGGCTGTCTAGACAAGGCCTCTGCTCTGCTAGATAATCTCATTAGGCCGCTTTGCCTTGAAGAGAGCCAGTTTCTGCATGCGGAAAAAAAAAAAAAAAAAAAAGCCCCAGTGTATGGGCAGGCAATTAACAGCCAGTTAGCACCACGGGCCCAACTCAGCCGTGAATGGGGGCGAGAGGGCCCGGAGAATAAAGGCCCCCGCGATCCACATCCAGGCAACGTCCAAGCGCGTCCCCAATCCACCGGTCTGGACAGTCCCAGCCTGCATCTGACCTCAGCACGAGGGTAAAAAGCAAACGCTGAGAGGAGAGGGCTTTAAACCACTTTTCCCACTCTTTTTTGCCTCTGAAATGAATTGAGTTCAGCCGGCTTTCAACATCTCCTTCATCCTCTTCTCGAGCATTGACCCAACAATTCCCACAAAGGTTTTGCATCCTCTGTGTCCTCACCCTGTGTGCTGCATACAATGCCTTTTGTAGGCAGGGCTTTTTTTTTTTTTTTTTACACCCAGGCACCAAGGTGCGTATTTTTTCCCGACGAACTGTATGGATAACAGCTTAAATCCTAAAGCCTTTTTTTTTTAAGCCGTCCGGGGGTCTCGGGCCGTCTGCACGTTAGAGTGCACGGCCCTCTGTGGATTTGGCCGTTAAAAGGGAGCGAGCAGCCTCCACCTGTGAACGTATTGACGGGCTTTGTGTTCGGATCCATTTCGACTTAAAAAAAGGAGAGCGCCCAGCTTGTAAGGATGCACTTAAAGATACACACGTTGGATTTGGACGTTTAACTGCCCGCGCGGAGGACTCGCCCCAGCACATCCTGTAGGCAAAACATTGGCCTTGAGGAGGTGTGACGGGCCTTTATGTGAGGACGGTTGCTATGGAGGGGTTATTCATCACAGGTTCAGCGTTGCTCTGCTCACCTGGCTCTTCTGGGCCCTTACGCTGACGTGTCCTTAAAACAACCTCACAGGTCAGAGGGGGTCAGCCGGCTTCTGGGTGACTGGGAGTGAGAACTGGGAGAACTGGGAGAGGTGGGCTCTCCTCTGGTCAGCCCGGCGGGGCAGAGGTGCAGCTTTCAGCAGCAGCAGCGTCGAATCCCATTACGCCGCCGCTCTGAGAGGGGCCGGGTGTGAACGGGGGGGGGGGGGGGGGCACCGCCGGAGCTCCAAAGCAAGTGAAGTGACCAATAACTTACGCACCAGCAGCCTCTACGTGGACCGAAGATATCAGGAAGGTTGTCTGAGACTTTATTGGATGCTCCAGTAACACTGGAGTGAGCGTTTCCAGGTACTAGCAGGATAGTCCCGCAGCTAAATGAGTAACCAAAGAAAACCTGCGTCTAATGGCCAGCTGCGGTCACACTGCCTCTAATGCAAGTCCGCAGAGGCTCGTGGTCACCTCCGACAGCGATGCTCCACCTCTCAGGTGTCAGCCTCTGGCCATTTGCTTTAACTGTGCAGGTCCCCATGTGCCCCCTGGGTTAACAACTGCCAATATACAGCCACGGCCCAGGGATCAGACGGCTCTGCAGCAGCCCAATAAAGAGCCCCCGGAGTGGACTGACGAGAAATCTCACACCTTTCACCCACATTAGCCATGCACCACGCTCTTTTGATGCTGAGATGGCCACTTTGGCAGGGTCAGGGCTGAAACAACATGATATGGCCTGATTTATTGGAGATATAGATCTCGGAGATGCTCCACTGGGATTGGAAAAGATTTGCATCACGTTCAAACACAGATAATGTGGCTGCATCACAACTAAATAACTTAATAAGTTCGATTTTGGATATATAAACATATTTGTGTGTTTGTGTATTCCATTACTGCTCATTAGAAACAAATATCATTTGAGTGGATAAACTGAAGGGTTCAAAAATCTGTTTTCTGTGTTCTGTCCTGCCTCCAGAAGCGGCCGTGATCTCGGAGGCCGGGTGAGCTCACATTTGGTCCCCATGTAAGAAAACAAACCCCAGATCTAGCTTTCCTGGCAAAGGGGGCAAATGACAACTTCACAGCACTTCATAAGAAACTCCTGGAAGTTGCTAATGAAGACTAATGACTTCCCTCGTGTCAGAGAATTCACACCAGAGTGTACAAGCCCTTTGACCACAAACCCGGTGTGGTCAGCGGGGAGGTCTGCCGGTTGAGTTCAGAAACCCCACAGCTGCTAAAAAAACATGCTGGCTGGAGGAGGAAAATACTCTCCATTTCATTTGTTTTGGGGAAACAGTTTGCAGGAGGAATGAATCTGTTATGTCTCATATATGTGCTCTTATGTTCAATAAATGTACTCGTGGGGACAAATAAAGTTTAGTGAATAGAACTGAATTGAACAATGTATATATGAGGGCAGATTTAGATGTTATTTTTTGTTCTATCAAAACTCTAACCAGCTATTTAAAAAACTGGTTTGAAACTTGGACTCCAATTCTGTGTGAGAAACTATTTCAGAGTGAAATGAAAAATCGAACGCTGTGTTTTCATCAATTAAGAACAATATGTAATAAAAATGACTGGATACGTCTGAAAAGAAGAAGGAAGAAGCAACATTTTTATTTAGACCATTGGAAATTATTTCCTTTTTTTGTTGTGTCGACTAAAAATAGATTCAACTGAGAGAATTATAAAAAATCCCAATTTTCATTTAAATGGATTTTGGAGAACTTTTAGGTTATTCAACCACGGAACAGAGCATTTTTTGGTTGTTTTTCTTTATCCGTCAGAGGTCCATTAGCTCTCTGTGGCTCACACTGTGCGGGCCGAGCAGAGTGGACGCAGCAGCCCCGCTGAGCCCGGATCCTTCTCCACGCAGGGAAACAAATAACACGGCGAGGAGGAGAAAAACAGCAGAGAGGCTGCAGGAAAAGCTCCACCACCAACGCCTCCATGATGTGGTGGAGGCTGGTTATGTGTCCATGTGTGGGAGGCTTTACTGTAGCAGTGTTTATTATGATGCCATGTGCTCAGCTTTAACACACACACACACACACACCTCAAATGAGCCCGTCCTGATTTTCCTGCGTCTGACAGGCAAAACAGGGATTTATAACAACAAATGAACAAGTTATGCTTCTTAACTGGAGGCAAAAGAGTCCAAAAGAAAATGTCAAACATTAAAGCTGTAGTCTGAAGGTGAAATACGCCTGCTCGATTTCACCTTTAAAGCCCATAATTGACATCAGACAATTATTTCAGAATTTATAACGACTTAATGAATAAATGCAAAGGCACCCGCCTGGAAGTGTTTCAACAAACTCTCAGAATGAAGAGCAGCCTTTTAAATGTTTAATATCAGCCCCTGGAATAATTTTTTTATTCTAGAGAATGAAACATCTGTAGTGGTCGGCACCATAAGCTGCACACTGATCAAAGTAGGACTTTAATGGTTAGGGTGAGGCTTTCTGAAGAAACCCAAAGCAGAGCTCGCTGCTGCCTCTAGTGCTGGAGGTCAGGAAGGTTCAGAAGAACTGATGCCTTCAGGTGAGGACAAGTCCATCAACAGCACAGAAGAGGGACAGAGAAGATTAACTTTCTTAAAATGAGTCCTGTAAGATGGAACACACAGAAAAGAGAGCACCTGAAGACAACTGCAGACTGTTTCCATGGCTTGTTTTGTGTGTATGTATTTTATTTCAGAGCTGGAAAACTCTTGTCTTCATCAAATATTTCATTTCTAAAGATCATGAAATTGTTGTTCTTGTGCATTTACTGGTGATGTTGAGGAGTATTCAGAAAAATTAACCGGCAAGCTTCTCCGCCTAAAGTTTCCACTGAAGCAGCAAATGTGTCAGCCACACTTTATAGATTAGTCTCCAACTGAACTTTTATTGGTCTAAATCATATCTCAGGATGCACTTTAGCTCATCCAGCTCCGATCTTTATATTTTCTCCCTCACTGTTTCAGTGCAAATAAATCCTAAATGTTTTTTCCAGTTGCAATAAAACTGGACTGAGCCATATCTTGACTATCCAGGGGTGAGCTGTATCCAGAGGTTATTGTTTTCTTTGTTATAAAAGACTGTAACAGTCATTATTGATTATGAAAGCATGACACACAGGAACCTCACACAGGTGCTGAGTCACTGTCAGACAACACGACACAGCGGAGGCCTGTGTGTGGAAATTTGCTCGACCGTGTGTTGATTTGTGGGACATCACTTTGGACTCGTCTTCAGGTTTTAGAAGAACTCATAGGCAGGGCGGGGGGGGGAGGTCTTTCCTTCTGATTGCTGAACAAAACAGCCACTTCACAAGAAGCAAAGACTCAAACAACAAATGCGTGTTTCTCAAGTATATTTTTGGTTTGACATCTATAATGCATTCACTCCAGAGAACATGTTCCACTGGGGGGGGGGGGGGGTGCAGGCCAGGCTCAGAGCTGGTCACCTCTTTTGCTGTGGTACATTCTCCACTGAACAATAGAAAACATCCCGAGAAAAAAAACAAATAAACAACATAATGAACTAAATTACTAAACTGAAATCAAGGGTGTGAGTTTACAATTTTTCCTTTGTGTACTATTTAAAAAGTCCTTTCAGACAGCTAGCAAGAAACATCTGGAAATCTTTTTTTTTTTAATAGAAAACAATCTGTAAAAACAAACAAAAAAAAAAACATTCTTTTGTCTTCCTCTGAGTTAAGCTAAAACTTGACAAATTCACCCGAACGGCGTCAGTGGAAAGGCATCGGTTAGAAAAAGTCCCCCTCCTGCCGGCGGCAGGTCATCCCCGAGCTGGCCGGAACCGAAGTGACCCACTCTGACAGGTCACTCCTGCTCAGGGCTCACACCGTGAAAAGCCAAACGTGTCGCGAATACATCTTTTTGGGGTCGTCATATGTACAAAAGCTAATCTCTTACTAAACAAAAGCCCCTCGTGGTTTCATTCGGATCAGTGCTGGTGACGGGACCTCTTCCCTGTTAAGAACTGCTCATCGTAGCTACAGATGCACACTCAAGGCAAAAAAATATACAGGACTATGAGATATACAGTCAGTACAAAAATAGCACAAAGTTGAGTGCAAACGGAAAACCAACCCAAATGTTAAGTGTAAACTTTGCCAATCTGCTACAGGTTTGTGAGGCTCTGTGGCGCCACACACGGCGCCCTCCTTCCACTCTCTGTTCGGCGACGCCCGTCGTGTACCGGTGCGTCTCGGAGGGGGGAATCTCATGCCGGAGTAAACTTCAAAAGAGGAGGAGGGCGTGAGCTTGGAGACGCGGTTAGCGCGCGACATAGAAAAGATGCATAAACATGGCGCTGGTGGGCTTTAAAGGCCGAGTCTGTTTTTGTTTTTTTGCCAGTGTGCACGGTTCGGTGGGAGAGCTCACGAAGCCGATGTGTGATGTGCATAAAGGCCATCATGCTGGGGCTGCCGCACGCCGTCGCCCCGGCAACGCCGTCGCCCCGGGGAACACTTTTTTTGTAATGCACGCGAGGAACAACGGCGGAAACGCAGACAGCTGGAGGCCTGAGCCTTTGGTCTGTTTGGCGTGGGAGGCGGGTTTGGCAGAGAGCGGTCTGGGACTGGACGAGGGCTCGGCCTCAGATCTTCAGATGTCCATGTAGTCGTCCTCCTCGTCCGACTCGCTCTCCAGGGACGACTCCTGGCTGGACGTCTCCTGCACCTCCAGCGCCGGCTGGCTCAGGGTGTCCTTCTTGACCGTGGCGGCGGACTGGGAGGACAGGATGACGTTCTGTACGGGAGCAGACAGCAGAGGTCAGCGCCGGGCGGCGGACGGAGCGCCGGACGGAGCGGGGCCGGCGCCCGGAGGCACGCGGCCTACCTTGAGCCTCTGCTTGGTCTCCTCTGAGATGCTGCCTTTCGGGGAGAGCAGGGTGGGCGTCGGAGGCGTGACTGTGATTTCCGGCGGGAACTTGGTGACGGTGGAGGGGATGAAGAGCTTTGGCATGCTGGCGGGGACTCGCGAGCGGATTCTGCTGGGGTCAGCTGGAAGCTTGGGCGGCTCGCCGCCGGCGTACTGCGGCTGGTCTGAGACACAGGGACGGACAGGGGTTGTTATTGGACGGCGTGCGAAGCTTTGAAGCTTTGCCCGGGGTGCGTGTGGGGGGCCTGACCTGGGCATGGCTGTGCTGTGCTACATGTTGCCGTCTCCTCCTGGAACCAGCCGGCCGCGGGCTCCTGGCTCTGGGAGACAGAGGCCAGCTTCATCTGCTGACAAAGGTGGGACTCCTGCTGCCGGTACAGAAGCCCCTCTGAGGGCTCCCCCCGCTCCTCTGTGGGGAGAAACATCACCAGATGCTCGTCAATGCCGAAACATCTCATGCAAACATTCACAAATAACGCCGATAATGAAAATCCTTCCCTTTTAAAAAGGAGAATTCAATCAAAAAATGTCCCCGTTAATGTTCAAATCTGTGGTTCGATGGGGGTTTTTGAAGCAAAGTTTGGCCCGAGTGGGAGCAGCCGTGGGAACTGACAAACTTTCCTGCGCTGGCAGACTTGTATGAAAAGAACTGATCTATTATTCTTTCAGGGTTATCCTGAAATGTTGCCTAGGAAACTCCGGAGAGGTGTTGCTTGACGCAAACCTGTGAGTGCATGTAAAGGCTCGTTGATACAAACACATTTTTTGCATGTGTATCTACACAGACTTCAAAGGTCACCCAGCTCCAGGAAACTGACGGTAAGAAAATAGGCAAAGTGGGATCGTTGATGCAAGTGAAATGGAACTTAACCGGATGCATTCATTTTTCCATGTTAAAGATCCATTTACCACTATATTTGAATGAAACAGCCAAACAAGTCACCTGGATAAAAGAGCCCTGCAAAAGGGGAAAAATGGCAAACCGTCACCACTGATACAAATTTAGACTACAGATCAGAAAAGGGAAGCAAACACGTGGACGTGAATGTCCAAAATGCTGAAACTCTCAGCAGAGGATCTAAAAGCTCACATTAAGCACCACAGAAACTGAAAAGTTTCTGATGGGATCAGGAGAGATTGACTCTCAAAATCCTTTCCAGGGGCTCTTTCAGGCAGGAAGGGGTCTCAATGTGAAGGACGCTGATACAAAAAAACCTGCTGGGGGACTGGGGGTGTCCTGTGAGGCCAAACCAGAACCGGGGCCGGGGCTGCTGTTATGAAACAGATCTGTGGAAGTCCACAGGCGCCCCCTGCTGGTCACCTGGACCAAGGCCCTTTGTTTTTTTTCTTAAAATGCTCAACATATATATGAAACAATGTTAAAAACGGGTGTATCAAACACTAACTGCGTGGTGAGAAGAGCTACCTGTGTGTGGGGGGAAGGTGGCGGCGGCGGCGGCCGGCTGGCTGCCGGCTTTCCTGTGCTGCAGCTGGTCCTGGAAGCCTGAGGCGGGGGGTCTGGACAGGGCCTTGCTCAGCGGCTCGCCGGACAGCGGGTGGCAGCTGGAGTGGCTGAGCAGGACGGGCGTCGGCAGGGAGGTGGGGAAGAAGATGTCCCGCAGCTCCTTGGTGTACTTGGGCGTGGTCGGGGCGTCGCCTGTGGACTGCTGGACACAGAAGAGGGGCGGCCGTCACGGCGGGCAGGAGAAGAAACTGACCACAGGGGGCTTTTTAACCATCCCCAGCTCCGGCAGCTTTCTGAAAACAGTCCATCTCCTTCTCCCCCTGAGACTCGGTGCTGCTCCACACTCAGCAGCACAGCCCTTTTCACACCACAGGCAGCAGAAATGCTCCCGGCCTATCACGTGAGAGGTAATGACATCCTCCGCCGGGCGGCCGCCTCTCCTCTGGACGCTGCCGGCTGGACGGCGGGCCGGCAGGGAGTTCGGCTCTACTCCTCGCCAACACTTTCCTGGGTGTCCTTTTGAGGACCACTTATGAACACACAAACAACCTGTGACAGCCGCCCTGCTCCTGCAGCTGCTGTCATGGTAACAGCGGAGCGGTAAAATGCATGAAGGAGCCCTCTGTGGCTCTCCATTCCGAATGGATGAAAAGTTGGGTGAAAAGTACACGGTCTGAGCATCTAAACGCGGCCCTGTGAAGCAAATGGAGCTCAATTCAACACGTTTTCTTGATCTTTTTTAGAGAAAGCGAGTAAGATTGGTCTCAGGGTTTTGTGTGGCAGAGGCTACTTAAACGTGCAGGAGCTCCTTCGCCAGCAGCCCGGCTCTTATGCTACTTATCTCAGCATCTCTGCCGGGAGTTGGAGTTAAATTGCGCTCCGAGTCCCAGCTGTGTGTGACCGAGTTCCCCACAGTTGTCACACGGCAGAGAGAGGGGCAAATTACACCCACAGAGGCTTCAGACGGGGGCAGCTCCCTCGGCCCCGCACAGCAGCGTCCGGCACGCCGCGGCCACAGAGCCACAGAGGACTCGGGATGATTCACCACTCATGAATTAAACATCAGCCACTAAAACCCAACAAGTCAGCGGGACTGTACACATTAGAGGGACACTGAGGGCCACCTGTGCATGCAGAACCGAGGCCCCAGCTCCCTCCCACAGGGAGACAGCTTCCCATCAAAGTTGTTCCAGAGATGGCTCAGAGCCCAAATGAGAAACGGCTCCTCAACGGTCAGCGCTTTGGCTAAAAAAGAGACCAGCACCATATTAAGTTACATGCCTCTCAGTGGAAAACATTAAATAGCTAGCATACACATGACCATGTACACTAACGTTTAGGTTGAGATGGTAAAAAGCCCCAAAGGACGTTCTGCTTATACGTGGACAGAGTGGTAATTTAATCCTCTTTGTCCATCCACACTTTGGTGCTAAAAACCACTGCCATGAATTAAATCTAAGTATAGAGCCAGTGTTTGTCCCTGTCACTGAGAAAACGTCTGACTTTTAAATCTGAGAATTCTAAATGACAAAAGGAAGGTTAGGAGGGCAATTCAGCTACTCATCAAAATGACAAGAATGTCTTTAGTTGGTGGAGCAGATTCTAAATGTTAAGTCCTTTTTGGAACAAACATCACGTACAAAGAAATTAAACTCTATAGTTAGACCGTTTAGGGGCTGTACTGGATACCTTACGTGGGTATGGTAGTCATAATATTTGGGGAATTTTTTTCACGACAGTATTTTACAGGAAGCAGAGAGCTTTTTTCATACAGAACAGACTCATATCTAAAACGTCTTTCCGCTTTAGATGTTTTTTGTCATTTACCTCCTGATAAAATAATTTCAAAGTGTGAACTGAAAAACTTCTCTTTAAAAGGATCGAGAATGGGCTTTAAAACGGAGTAATGCAGCTGTGTGAGAACTGAATGCCCAGCTTTGTTCGTCTTAACAAAATAACAAAACAATTCATCACATGGTCAAACGTGGGCTGGTAGCTGAAGCTCTTTAGACTCAGCCATATCTGTTCACTTCTAAAAGATCAACGCCATCCCCAGACAGCCGATACAGAGACTCGGCTAAACTGTGCACATCCTACAGGGTGTGAAAAAACAAAAAAAACAGCAAAAAAGACGATGAAATAATAAATAAGTGAAAGAAGACCAATGCTTTCCTGCTGATGAGGCATCACACACATACATTACAGCAGAGGGCAGATTTTTTTCCTGCACTAGTGGCAGCTTCCACAAAAAGTGTGAATCTGTAGGAAGTAGGAGAGAAGTTTCCCCCTCCCTCAAGCTGAATTATAAGGAGACAAAAGTGAAACTAAAATCAATCCCCGACAGTGACAACACGTCAACAACAGTTAGATAGTGGCACAGGACGAGTGTTTATAGAAAAGCCCTCCTCCTCATTCGCAATTTGGGCAGATGCAGACATTAACCGCAGCGCCGGAGGCCAATTATCCTGAAAGCAAACAGGTCGGCCATTGTTTGGCGTGCAGGCGCCGGGCGGTGGCGGCCGCGGCGGCGCTGGCCTGACGGACAGGAGACCCCAGCATTTCGGCGCCGCGCAGGAACCAAACGCCGACGCGGCCACACACCGGAACGGGCGCTCAGAGAGCGAGACGGCGCGATCGCTGAACAAGCAAAACAGATTTATTTTGCCTCATGAGCCCGAGGTTCAGGGAACATCACCGTGACAACAGGATGTGGGCAGAGAGACCCTTGATGACTGTGTGGGCAGGAGGAGGGATGAGAGGAAGAGGGAGACACCGACACAGAATGAGGAAGAGCTGCTAATGATTGGATAGGGAACATGAATACTGGAGAAAAAAACTGAGATAACTATTACTGTAGCCAGAGAGGAACCCACTAGGATCTCTAGAATTAGACTCATTTTCCAAGCATTTAGACACCCCAAAGAAACCCCTATGCTGTGTAAATGAGCAGTGCTGGGCGGAAAACAATGACAGTTCCACAAAATGAGTGAGGCTGAGGGAACGGCACACGCAGTGTTTTGGGTTATATTTGGAGTTGGCAAGCTGCAGCAGGACAGACCTCGTCTGGGAGGAACAAAGATAGTCACACATTTAGCAAATTGTACAGCAAAAGCTGCATTTTTTAGCAGAGTAGCCGAAGCATCTTTAAACCTCTGAAGCACAGGTGTGATGAGCCTGTTGTTAATGTTTAGTATGGCAGGTAAGCTGCTCATCAGACCTGATAGTCGTGAAAGAGTATCTTCTTTTTGCCATTAAAAGCTTATCCAGGTGAGGAAAAAAAACACATAAAATAATATACAACTACAAATACGAACAGGATCTGTAAAGACACTGTGGAAGACATCGTGCAAAAGCATCCATATAGTTTGTACTACATGGGGGTGGTGCAGAAAGGTGGTGAAAACTAGGGGAACACGCCGAGGGACACATCTTTACCTGTCTTTGTGCAGAAGTTGCCAGCTGTATCTGGCAGAACTTCACAGCTTGGTCCAGAGCTACATCTTCATCGACCTGAGACGGGAAAAGAAGGCAGAATGAGTACAGGAGGTACAGACGTGGCATCAACTGTCCCGAGTGCGGGTCTGGTTCAGGTCAGGGCCCTCACTTCTGTTGGGCGCCTAACATGTCTCTGTTTTTGCAAGCCGACCTCATCAGAGCATGTGCATGCATGCCCTCACAAAGTTTAAAAAGTCACACGTGTGGGATGAGAACATGGGCAAAAACACATGAGAGAACATGCCTGGTAGACACCTTCCCTCTAGGCCAATGGAAGGCTTTATGGCAAAGCTGAGCCTTCATTCTCAACCCGACACGCTCAAATGCTTTCATGGCAGGAAATTCTTTCTCTTTTCGTTTCAACACCTTAGGACTGAACCGAAGACAGAAGCACTGACATGTGAAAGAGTGAAGTCGGTGGAAATGCAGCTGTGCACGGCAGCCGACCACAATACCACAAAGCATCTGCAGTTTACTGCAGCCTGCTCACAACGGGTGGAGGTTTAAAAAAAAAAAAGGAAATAAAACATTTGCATAATCACAAATATAAATACAAGATGTCATAGGTGAAACTGGATGGGGAGCTACCAAAGTTCAATCAGTTCCTGAAATGTCACATAAAGAACCCCAAAAACTCAAAAAGACAACAAAAAAAAACTCAAAAAGAGACCAAAAAAATGTTTTAAAAAATAGCAATTCATAGGTCACATAAATAATAAAAAAAGAATAAACAAAGGAGACAAAAAACAACAACAGGCCCGATTTCTCTTCAAAACGCCCGGCCTGACCACGCTGACAGCCACCTGCTTAGGCTCCGACAGCTGTAGAAACTAGAGCCAGAGCGGGCTAAATTTGGGTTTTGGGTGTAAAAACACAACTCAACAGAGTTTTGTGTCTGAAACCTGAATGAGGGAAAGTCCCTAGTTCTCAGTTACTAATTCTGTTAACAGAGGGGTTTCCCAAGTTCAAACTATTTCAGGAGGACTCATTTCAAGAAAGCGTGACTTAGCAAACGCCTAAAATGGAGTAAAAACATCCGCGCACAATGCCGTCCATGTGCTCAGTGCTCTGGACACGGTTACCTGTTTTATCAGCATGTAAGTCTCCGACATGATCTTCTCGATGCGGCCCAGGTCGTAGGTCATGATTTTCTGGCCTTGCTGCCACACCCTGTAGGCGTCGAGCAGGAGGGTTTTTCCAGACTCCACGTCTTCTAGAAGCTTCCTTTTCCTATTGGGCTTTCGCAGCGGCCCCTGGTCGGGCGCATTGGCCTTCGGGGCCGAGGCCTGCAGCTGCTGCTGCCTGGAACTGATGCTCAGCTCTTCCAGGGACAGCTCCGGCGTCCGGCTGCTCTCAGTCCCTTTCTGCGGCGGGTCCGCGCCGCTCAGGGAGGCCTCCGCCTCCGTCTGGTTGCCCTGAGAATCGGCGGCGCCGGAGGGCTTTTTCCAGTGGCCGACGTCCAGCTCCATGGGCTCCTCGGGCCCCGCTTTGTGCCCCTCATTTCCGGCAGCTTCCGCCTTCCCGGGCGGGCCCTCCGGAGTCTTGATCCCTTTATCCGCGGACGGCTGTGGGGGGGCCAGCTGAGCCTGGGGGGCTTCCCTGGGCCCGCTCTCAGCAGCAGCACAGGCTCCCTCTGTGAGCCCTGGCTTTTTAAGCCCCGCGTGCTTGCCGTCCTCCGAGCTGGGCCTGTTGGATATGTCCGTGGTGGTCATCTCCCCCATGGAGGGCGCGGGCGCTTTGGGAAGCTGCTCAGACACCTGAGAGAGAACAGAAGCTGTCAGAGCACAGAGCGTGTGGATGCCAGACGCCGACAAAAGAGGGACGCGCCTCCTTACCCCTGTGAGACTGTTAAGATTGTCCTCCAGCACTTTTACAGTTAGGAAAAATGCTCTCTTGGCAAAAACCTGGCGGTCAACATCCCGTAAATACTTCCTTCAGAGCGGAGAGAGATAGAGAGGAGAGACGTCATGAAACAAACGCGTGACATAACATGACAGAAATAAGAGATCCATGTTGAGAAAGCCCTTACTTTCCCTGGTCAGGGGTTCGGTGGAGCATGAAAGAGACTTTCAGCAGAGTGTCGTGGTCCTTAAGCTGAGACAGCACCTCCAGCAAGAGAACAATAGATCGGTTCATATGAGATGCAAAACTTCCTGGGCGATCAATCTCATCCACTGGAATACGCCAAATGCCCTGGAGAGAGCACAGGGGGACAATTAATCATGAGTTAACTTTTACTTGGCTAAAAAGACTAGAAAGGCCATTTTTCTCGCTGCTACCACATTGTTAATGTTCGTCTCTCTAAATGGGAGAGACGAACACAGATGTTCCACAAGATCAAAGATGAATCAGAGAGGTGAAACAGTACACGACTGGTCAAAACCCCGACTTTATAGATACTAACTTTATCTTTTAATCACTGTTCTCTGCAGCTACAGCCTGTAGCATCTATGACACCTAGAAATAATTAACAGTTAGATGTAAAAAAATAAATAAATAAATAAAAGAGAGAAGAATTAATGGTATTGAAACACATGGCATTCAAACAGAGCTTTAATGAGGGGATGGAAAGGCTACAAGAGAGATCCGTGGACTCGGTGGCCATGTAGCAGGTGGGAAAGAGAAATTGGAGGGGCCTTCATGATCGGCAGCCTCATTAGTGTTTGGTTCTGTCCAAGCCGTGCAGCAGCCCAGCAGACCGGCTGCCAAAAAGCCCAGCTCTGCTTTGCAGAAGGCGTGATGAGGGGTTTTTTTTTGTGTGCGTGTGTGTGTGAAGAAGTCCACCTTTTCGGTGAGCACATGTCCTCTCAGCAGGTGAGCCGAGGCGAGGAGCGCCACTCTGAAGTTACTGATGTGAATGCAGATGGTTGCTCGGACTGCGGGGGTAAAGCACATGGCACCCAGCACGGCCACGGACTCCGGGAAAAAGAAAATGTGCGCGAGGAAAAACAAAGATGACCGTATCACGACGGAGTGAAACAAACGAGATGGCTCGGTCCACTGCTGGAGGCGAGGGGGGGGCGGGCGCTTCGCACAGGCGGCCCCAGATTGTCAGATGACATTTTCAAAGCCAGCTGGGAGGCGCACGACAGAGCGCATTCCTGAGGATGAGCTAGCAGCCTTCTAACCGAGAAGGTGTCAGATCTGGTCATCTAAAACAAAACACAGAAGCTCACCCGAGAATAAAAAACAAACCCCACACATTTCATCCTCGGCTCACGCGGAATGCAGAGGGTTAGAATGCTCTTCGTGGTCGGGAGGAAAATCAAGCCTCAACCCTGATGTCGTCAAAAAACAAACAAACAAATGAGAATCAGATGGAGAGCACGGCTCTTCCGATCTAGATGATGGAATCCATCAGGTCTGAAGGAGGTTTTAAGCCTCAACGCACAGATTAGAAATGAACAGGAAGTATGAAGGGGGGGGGGGTTAAAACGCAGAAAAGTTGTTCTTCACATTCCGATGACAGCAAATCTCTTTAGGGAAAGCAGAGCCGTGGCTTTACGCAGATTACACAGCGACACAACAGCTACAGCAGATTTGTGAGACTTTAAGGGCAATAATTTGAAGCATCTTTTTTTTTTCTCTCTATTTCAGCGACTCAAAACATGAACACTGCGGGATATCTGGACTGAACGCTCTGGCACAGATGTGACCGGAAAACTACACAAGCATCAGACTGAGATCAAGACGCAAAGCAGACAGGGGAGGCTACAGTAAGAGCCTCCTCTGAAAGGAATCCAACCATCCTAAAACTACACTCAGATTTTCAAAAAACAGAAAAACATAATACGAAGAGAGAGAGTGGACAGCTGATGTGCTGCATCGTGATAATCAGAAAATGCATGAGGGAGTGAGTGTGTTAAAGGTGAAAAAGAGGCAGTTTGCGTTGGCTGAGAGCCAGTGAAAAACTGCGGGCTAACTGCGCTCCCTGGAAATCGTGAGGAGATGACCTTGTTTTCTGTAACTACTACATCTCCTCATGTTCTGACATGTTGACTGATGAGGCGCGCCGCACAACCAGTTGTGAATCTGCCTTGTGGGAGAATACCACTTCACTAAAGCAGCCCACTCCTCACTACAGTATTTACAGCTTGTTTGTTTTTTTTACGTGTAAAATAGCCAAATATTTGGGGACAAAAAGAGAGATTAAAAAAAATGGCAGATCGCCTTTAAATGGTACCACGTTCAGCTTTTGCCGAGTTTTCCCAGACATGCAGAAAAAGTCTCCACGCAGACGCACGCACAGGGACATTTTTTGGCTGTTCTCTGTCCCTCCACGGGAGTTCCACTCAAGGCTGCCTAAAGTTGCCAATCCCGTTTTTGTAAAAAAAAAAAAAAAAAAAAAAAAGGAGCAAAAAATAACTCACCATCACCAAAGAGAGCTACTCCCCCAGCGCCTGAGCTAGTGTTTTTCTCTTTTTGGACAGTTTCCTGCTGGTCGGCGGCAGAGCCTGAACCGGGGCTCACGCACTCGGGGAAAGTGACGGGCTGCGTTCGGCTGGAGAGGAGAGCGGGGAAGCACGGCTGCACATGGCAGAGGAGGAAGAGAAGAGGAGACGGGCGGCTGCCCTGGTGAGCCGCGACTCGGGGCCTACGCGCTCCGTGTGCCTCTGACGGACGAGCCGACTCGCTCCTCTCCCGGTTTCAAACCCTGCCATCTCAAAACAAAAACACCCACGCACTTTTCTGCTCAGCTCTCCCCTGACCCCAGCTCGCTGGAGTTCTCCCCCCCCTCCCCTCCCTTCCCTCCCCTCCTCCTCTCTTCGTTTCTCTCCCACTATATGCGGCGCGCAGCCAATCGCGGCGGGGCCCCGCCAGCCAATGGCAGGCTTGTGGTAGAAAAAAGATCCCGCCCATTAGTGTACACCCACATAATATACACACAAACAGGGGAGTGACAGAGAAAGTAATGAGGAAAAAAAGAACGGGTGCAGCACAGAGAGGAGATGAGTGGAGCCAAAGAAAAAAAAAAAAATAGGAAAAAAAAGGCAGCGAGGGAGGGGTGAGGGGGGGGCAGAGCGGGATCACCCTGAAGACTGAGCAACAGGAAAAGAACGAGAAGACATAAACAGGATGAAAAATGAATTCAGTGCTACCTCAGCCTTCAAGAGGATGGCGGGCTGGCAGTGAGCGGGGAGCTCGAGGGAGAAGGCAAAATGTTTAAACAAACAGAGCCCAAATTAGCTGCTGAGCTGAGGCTGAAGAGCGGGGCTGAGCAGCGCGTCCACGGCTCCTCTGGCAGCCCCCACCGCCTCATTTTCCTGCCTTTAACTGCTGTCGTGCCTCTCCGGCCGGCCACCCAGCGCACACAAAGCAAACACACCTCGTTTTTCCTGCTTCAGGTTTTGTGAGCAAGGAGTGGGAGGGGGGGAAACAAAACAAAAACAAGCTGGTCCGGTCATAAACCTGAAAAATTCCTCTAAAAAAAAGCAAAAGCACAAAGAGACCCAGAGTTTCAGCTCCGACATGTAAAAACTTCCACAAACTGTATAACACTGGACGGGTTCCTTTGAAAGACAAAAAAAAAGAAAAAAGGAAGAAAAATGTCAAACCAAAACATGAGCTCCCTCCTGAGGGAGGCTCCGCCTACAGCGAATTGCACAGCTGAACACACACAAATGTTTGAGTCATACAATCCAACCGAGGTGAGTATCAATCAGAACTGTTGTCCAGCTAATGGAACAACCCACGGCTGCCCAATGAGCGGCAGCTCAATCGGAGATGGGGGGGGGCACTCATAACAAGCTCCCTGAAAATAATACGATAAAATAATAACCATAAATTGGATCTCCTCTCTAGCTGCCAATAGAGAGGACGTCCATTTTCTCTGGAGCTCTGCTAGTGCACTGCGAGTGGGAGGAAGAATATGTAAGCAAGATGTAAGCAGTGTGTGGGGTGTGCCGCGCAGGGCTGGGGGGGGGGCAGGAGGTAACACACAGGGACTGCTCACGAATGATCAACAGCAATCCTGAACGGCCAGAGGAGCTCAGGGGTCTGGGAATAAGTGCATCACAACAGTTTAGCACCACTCTCACTGTGCTATTTCTGCCAGTCCTCATGTTTACATTGTCCCTGTAGTACAGTCAGAGGAGGACACGCATGTTTAAAATGACGCAATATTAAAAAAAAAAAACAAATGTGTATTGAATTGGACCAAACTGCTTTTATCCCAGGAGCTAAAAAGCTTATTGAAGCTTTATTGTAGAAATATATACACGATCAGAGCTAAGAGGACTGAAGCCAAAGTGCTAAACACAGGAATCCCACAGATGATCCGAATCCTCCTCGTTTCATTTCAGTGTCTGCTACATTACTAATAATAGTTTATAACTTATGTAAAAGTGAGCTGGTTCTAGAGATCAATCATGTTGACACCCGCAGAGTTAAATTATGCAACACGACCTCATCTGGTTCGAATCTTAACAGCTGTATGTAGGTTACTTTATGCAGGCCTCAGTTAATGTAAGCCAGCCAAGGCAGGAGCGAAAAGTAGGCCATCGTGACCCACATTGGGAAACTTGGTGTTAAAGTTCCAGTGTGTAGCATTTTGGGTTATCCATCAGCAGAAACGCACGCATGTGTTTTTCCACTGGTGGTCAATTAAAAACAAAAAATAAGCCACAAAGAACAACAACAAAAAAAGTTAAGTTACTTTTGATGGAGTATTCACAAACAAAAAGGTCCCAAGTTGCCCTACAAAGTCCTCAACTATGTTATTCTGGCAGAGAAAAAAGGGCAGTTCACATAACAACCAGGAAGAAGAAAGACTGTATTATTCTGAGCAGGAATTTGTGAATTTGATTACACCTGTACGAAAGAAATCAGGGTCTCATGTATATGCTTAAAAAAATTCCCGTCATGGCCTACAGCCGCTAATGCTAATAGTTTTGCTAATGCATGTTTACTGAGACACCTCCATGACTCGAGCTGGGACTGTAACCCACCTTTTTCATTCTAAGGCTAAACAGGGGCATTATGAGGCCTCTGCTGCCCGGCCAGGGTAGGCTGGTTTCAGCCTGTGCCACTAGATGTCCCAGCTTCTTACAGGTTGAACTTTAAACAAACCTACGAGGTAAAAGTGCTCGGCAGAGTCAGGCTGGGTCAGTACTGACCCGGGTGGGGGATATCTGAACCACACTGGGCCTCACTGTTTCAGGCAATCTGCACCGTTGCTCCAGCTCACAGCATTTCGGTTACATCGTTGTGTAAGAAGACAAAAAAAAACAAAAAAAAACCTCCGCGCTCCAGCGCTGCCATGTAGGGAAGTGTCACACTGCTGATTTGGGTGACTTAAGCTTAAGGGCATCTCTGGCCGCTGGTTGCAGGCTCACTGCTCCCCTGACTGCCGCTCAGACTCACGCAGACTAACAGCGGTGGAGATAGCAGACTAATCCTGATCTGGCTGTCACTTCGCACCGCTGCTGAAGTCTGCGGCCTCTGGGAAACTTTTTGGTTTCTTGACGTGCAACAAAGAGCCACATTTGTGGGGATACGGGGGAGGAGAGCACGCCGAAGGTTACAATGTGGCTCCTGACGGCAAACTGCGTGATGCTGGGTGAGATCAGTGTCTCAGCCTGTGGCAGCTCTCGTGCATGTGTGTGACCGCTGAAGGACGAAAGCCACCTAAACCTGAATGAAAAGTTAGCCGTAAGAACAGCTTACAAGCTAGCCGAGGGGGAAAAGTCCCACAGAGCTAAAAGGTTACAAAACAGATCCCAGAAACTCCGGCAGAGTACATATCGGCTGAGAAATGATGCACAGAAGCCCCGTTTGATAGCGGTTTAGGGCTGTTTGCATTGCTGTGTGGCGGATACGGGGCCCTCGGTTCAAGGGGAACAGCTAAGCTCCAACAGTTGGTGAGCCACAGTGGCAGGTCTGCCTCCAGAAGGGGCTCTGCGAGAACCCAGTGGGAGCCGGAGCGCAGAAGAGCTCCTCTCCAGCTCAGACCTGGCCCGGATCACATCCACAGTCTGTTCTGAGCAGCGTTTGACTCCGACAGTCACAGATTCTACCGGCGTGTTCGAATGGTTGATTAAGGGGCTGATGAGATCGGGTTCAGTCCTCTGATCAGTAAGGAATATAAACGACAGTGGGCACACTTCAAAAGTCAGCCCACTGGTGGGGGCGCAGTGTCAATGTCTGCTTCTGGTGAAAAGATGTAAACAGACAGACATGTAGGGCGGAGGATGGCTTCATAAAGTAATCGCTCCCGCAGCAACCCAACAGAGGCTTTGTGATTCTGAGAGGCAGATAATTCAACAATCTCCCACTGTGCGATTCCAATTATAGAATTGTCCGTATCCACAGACCCACACTGAAGGATGGCTTTTGTCCATCCAGGCCGAGAGGATAACATGTGTGAGCAGAGGTAAAGCTAAATGCTCCAGGCCAGTCGCAAAATTATCAAGATCCCCCTCCAGGAGTAGGGGTCAGTCAAAGCCAACCACCTGACCAGGACAAGGTAAAAAAAACAAAAACAACAACCTTCTTACACACAACAACTATGAAAAACAAATCCAAAAGAGCTATTGACCATTCCAGAGTGTACCTCTGCTGCAAAAAAAATATGCAGCAGAGTCGTCTTCGGTCAAAAGCTTTTTTAAAGCCACTAAATAAACAACACACTCACAACTTTCACAGGCAGCCATTCTACCGCCTTTTAAATTCAGTCCTACTGATGTTCAAACATTTATTGTGGGTGTAAAGAAAACTCAAAGAAGAAAGAAGAAAAGTATGAAAACTGAAAAAAAGGGATGGAGTGGAGGACGTCATGACGGTTGCTTAGCAACAGTGGAAGATAGGAAGTGGTTTTGACTCTAAGATCCACTTTTCACCTTGAGTGAGATTTGTGCAAATATTGCCCGGAGCCGGGGGTTTATGGATGATGAATATTAACCCCGGGGCCGGCTGTGCACGTGAATACCAGAACAACAAGACGAGGGACTTCACATCGGAGTCACGGAGGAAGAAAAACCACCTCAGCAAACCAACGCAGTCCCCCAAAACCCCCACAATCCTTTGCGCACACCTGAGTGTGTTCGCTGGCGATGTGCGCATTTCAAATACAGTTTGCTTTCCCTCTATGTGACCACAGTAATGTGCTCATATCAGAACAGAAAAGGAACAACAGCAGGCATAAATAGCTGTTAGGCAGCTAATAAAAGCTTCTAATTAATGTTATGGTTATCAAATATGCATGCGTGCGTGTCAGCTTTACAAAGGGTGTAACTGATTATGTTGTGATGTTTCCCTCCTTGCCAGCCTCAGAAAAGGTGTGGAGCACCCATCATCGTGAGACCGCATCAATAATTCATGATTTTAATCGCCAAATGCTGTTATGTTTACCAGCCTTTGTGTTTGGCCGTTTATGAGATCGGGGTTACAGTTGGTGCAAACAGCGTTTGTGCACATGTGGGCTGAAAAGCAGCGACATGTATGTCGACTAACATGCTAACCAGCCATGGGCCTGATTCTATTTAGGAGAAAACACAGAACGATACACCATCACATCTGTGATGCTGAAAGTTTGAGGGCTTGAGCGACTTTTCCTCGCCCTGCAAGAGTCTGCCAGCACGGATGCAGCCGGCCTGCTCATAACACATGATTTTTACTGAAATTTACAAAGCCGGGAAACTATTATGGCTTCAGTTTGAGTCGTATTAAAGACGAAAAAACTATTGTGCAGAGCGTTACCTATCGAAAGGACAACGCAGCTGTGACACAGCTCCTCTGGTACATTCTCTGCATGGATCTCTGGGGATTGTGTGATCACACAGTCAGATGGAGGCTGGGGCAGCAAACAGGACGTCAGAATTTAACATCCCAGTGGAAACACAGCTGCCTAATCAGAAGCAGATACTCATCGGGTGAGTGGGCGCTGCAAAGGATGCTCACATCAACGCCGGTGTGTCTTATAGCACCTCGGAATCTGGACCGAGTCACTGAATGGTGCCAACTGGGTCAAATGGGTGAGCCAATCCAAATGGCAAGTGCACAACACTAATCCCAGGTGTGGATGGAGGACTCATTCAGGGCTGGTTACTCATGCTCGGAAACATGTGTCGACCTGCTGGTGTCCTTTTTGTGAGGCCTTTATTTGCATATAGAGCAGCTAACTGACATCCGTAGTTATTTCATATGCAAAATGTAAAGCCAGGCCAGAACAAATGGCCCACAATGAAAAAAGTCACACAGATGGCGACAGCGGAGGTCATTGAAGCACAGTGCTTTAAACGCATGCCGACAGTCCCTGAGCAGATCCCCCAAGATGCATCTTTGTGCCACGTGTAAACAGCGCCTGATGAGGGATGTACAAGCATTGACTACAGATTTCCTAATGCATGTATTAAAACACAATTATTCTGAAGAGTTAGACCTTTAAAAAGAGACAGAGACAGCTAATACTGACACAGCATGCCACATACAAGTTTTGTGCCATTCTTCTCAGACCTGTGGAGTGGACCAATCACACCACGCTGAGCATTTCAGGTGGAATGCCTTCTACCTGGCCTGTTTTCCCAAACAAACACAGACAAATTTTATTTGCACAAAGGCAAATGCAGCTCTGTTATGGGAACTTTGGGTTACCATGAAGCGCCGGCCAATTTTCAAATGTTTTTTTATGAGGGAAAAGCAGCCTCCTAAAGAAAATCCTCCCATTGATATTGAATGCCCAACATGATGGCAGAAATAAACCGATTTAGAGCTTAGCACAATTAACAAAATAAAAAAAAAGACTTAATGATAAATATGTGGGGGTACACTTAGAAATAATGATTTAGTGTACATTGTAAAGTTTTAAAGAAATGCCCATATAAAGGACTAATGATATGTATTCAAACTGTGCTGACATGACTAAGAAGAACGTAGAGAAACTCGGACTTACATTGAACAGATTTGTCTTGTTTCTTTCACAGAAAAGTCCTTGTGCTGGCATGTGCTTCAGCTGTTGCCATGGGACACTGCTTCCTAGCAACACATCTCTGGCCCACTGTAGGTTCTGTGATGGAAAATAAATAAATGAGAAAAAACCCACACGCATTTGAATGTACATTTCGTATAGACACAAAAGCACACACACACGCATAATGAATCTTAATGAGAAAAGGAAAATATCGCAGTCGGGAGAACGCAGACCTCTTCACGGCACCGTGACTCACGAATTTCGTGTCGATACGAGTGCCCCGTTTGAAACGATAGCAAGCCAGTGCCACCTCATGTTATCTTTCACAATACTATTAGCCTGAGGCGTGAAATCAAAGACTCCCTTTCCTCTGCTGAGAGAGAGGGTAAAAACGGCCATGTGAGGCGTACGCTTTCCTGAAAACAAAAGGGCCACACAGGCTTTTAACACTGAAAGTGATGGGACTGTGAGGGTGGCTAAGCAACCTGTGTCAGTAACACAACACCAACACACTCATCACCAAGTCTCCACCGGGCTGCATTTGCCTTTATGCAAAGCTGATGAAAACCTCAAGAAAATGAGGACCGAGGACCATCTATATGAGCATACAGGAAATAATCATTTTATGGGAGTTACTACCAATTAAGCAGTAATAATACTGTGGTCAGTGCTGTTGAACCACAACGCCACAGAGACCGGTTTGTGGTTAAACAAGCATCACAGAAGCATCCAGGACCTGTCCATGCCCAGAGGCTGTATTCAATTCAGTGCTGACAGAAGGTTGCCATTACAGTAAAGCCCCACACTGTCTCCCTGTGCCAAACTAGCTGAGAGAGCACTGCGCTTCCACCTGTAAACGCTGTGCGTTGGACTGACCTGGTGGGTCTTGCTGCTGGTGTAGAAGACGGCGAGGCGGTAGAGACTTTTGTAGTGCTGGGGGAAGCGACTGAGGCACAGAAAGAGAGCGCGGACGCACATCTCCAACAGCATTCGTCTCTGATCTGCGCGCTCGGCCGGCAGGGCTTTGGGGACCTCGATCACCTCGGCAGGGGGCTCTGGCTTCCTCTTCCCTTCACTGGCGGGTGTCTGAGCGGAGGCCTGCTGAGGGGCGGCTGCCTTCGGAGGGGTGGCGGCGGCAGGCAACGGATTAGAGCAGGGGTCCCCAGGGACCTTCGGGGGTGGAGCCTCAGGGATGACCACCACCACCGGTTCCACTTCCAGTGGAACCTTCTCCTCTGTCAGGATGCCACTTTGGTCCCTTTGTGAGACTGAGAAATCACAGCTAAGCTTTAGGATCAGATTTCACCACTGAACGACCTGCAGTAAAGCACAAGAAGCCCGACTACCCATGTCCTCTGATGAGGGCGGCCCGTCCTTAACGGGGGCCCTGTTTTCCGAAGGCACGGACCCGGCTTTGCCAGACGCGGGTTTGTGGCTGCTGTCTTGTGAGCTGGTCGGATCTATGAAGGCATCCTGGGTGGAGTTGGAATCAGAGAGCAGCACCACCTCGCTGTCCTGACTTCGATCTGCCAAAAAGAGAAAACACAGCTTATGCTGCTGGCTGCACGGCCGCAAACAGGAGGACATGACAGACCTACGCAAATATAAATGAGTTTGTTTGTAGAAAACGTACAGCCTAAACAAATTCATCTGTGACTTCAGATAGGGTTCTCATTTGTAAACAACATCAAATCAATCAGGTTGTGTAAAGTGCATTTCTAAAGTGGTGTCTGCTAAGAAAACATCCACTGTTGTAATGTGGGGACACACAGAGAGCATAATTATCTTACTGTCAATAGCCGCAAATTCTTACAAATGCATCACTTATGACACTCTGTTGTGAAAGAGGGATGGTTTGTTTTTTGCAAATGGGCTAAAACCAAAGTGCCAGCATTCCTCTTAATAGCAATGTTTTGCAGCCTCAGCAAAAGACTCTTGGCAGGGGAACTGTTCATAAGAGAGCAAGTGCCGTTTGCTATCCAAACACGAATGCACACAACAGTTGAGAGTTAACAGGAAAGTTACTGTGGTACCGAAAGAGACTGTGTAAGCTAGCAGCTGTGTATTCAGTGCTTCTTACAAGGGAGCACTTTAATTTGGTGGGTTAGAAGGGCAGTACCATTGAGTGAAGCCAGCCATATTGCAGACCTGGGCAGGCAGTAATCATGGTCAAACTCTGGTGAGGCTGTTGAAGATATGAGGAAGCTGGTTTGAAAAAATAAAATAAAGATAAACCAAAATTTCACCTCTAAATGTACAAAATAATAAGAACTGAGTAAACTTAAATGAAATGATTTATCTTTCTTATCGCAGTGCAGATTTGTTGCCACTTCCCTTGAAAATGTAGAACCTCATTCAGACAAATTCACCTTGCAATAGCAAAATAAAATAAAAGGGTTCAAATAAAAAGATAAAAAAAGTGCAGTTCAGTTTCAGTCTTCTTTCGAGGTTAAAATAAATAGCAAAACCTTAAATGAGGGCCGTAATCTGTGATTTTAATATTTTCCGTCCTCGTCAGAAATGTGGAGAACGTGAACATGGTTTTAAAAAGCATGTCTGAATCGGGTTCTACAGTTTAATCACCTTGAAAAACTCACCAAGTCTCAAGTCAGAGATTGGACACCTACCAGCAGCAGCAGGTATTTCTGACTTCAGCCTCAGATTTGTGTCCCAGTAGCAAGGCAACCACATTCTTTCTGCCCTGGCATTTTCAAACTAATTGATCATAATTAGACATTCTATCCAATTAAGAAGAGAGCAAACATGATTCACGGAAGATTTTGAGATAGTCCCCCGTCTCCCGCTGTGAACACCCCCCAAACCAAACAATGTAACTTAATGATGCACCACACAGTTTAGTGGATTGTTATAAAAGACTGACTCTCTCCCCAGCTGTGAAAACAATCACCCCACTAGAACTACATGCATATAAATGGCAAAGCAGGTGGTAAAAGCAAGCAGGCAAAGAGGTAGCAGGCAGGTAGGTAGGTAGGTAGGTAGGTGGGTATGCAGGAAGGAATCTGGAAAGGGTGACAAAACTGGCAACATGGGCAATATGGCTGCATTATTTGCACATTCAAGCTAAACACCACACACGAATGGGGTGGGTGGACAAATATCACAGTGTTTGTCATATAGAGAGAGCGCAGACTGCTTTCTCCAGGGAATACTTTGGCCAGAAATGGAAAACTCTTCTGCGTACGTGGTGATTAAATATATGTCTGTTTTTTTTCTATTATTCTCCTTGCTCAGCGACAAAAAAAAAATCTGTTTTCTTTTTTTTCTCCTACATCGTTCAGTGGGACTTCCGAGTGCAAACGTAGAATATTGTGAGTGGAGCGACGTTTATGCATTAATGCTCCAGCTCCAGCTCCAGCTGCTTGGGAGAATTCCATAACGTGGGCAGTACTGTGTAACATCACACACAAAACATTTAACACCCCATCCAGGCAGATACATCTCAGCCGACTGTAATCATACAAGAAATAAGTGATGGTTATTTCTGGTTGAACATAAAACCACTGGAACGAGAGCAAATTCAGAAGAGTTAAAGGCTGAAAAAAACCAAAAAACAGCACATATGTGCAAAAATGTGACACGGAACATAAGGAGCTGGAAACGAAACACCGACTTGAACTTACCGGTAAAGGCGGGTGATTGGTCAGAAAATATGGACCGACATAAAGCAGCAAAAAGAAACTGCTGTTATACCAGCACACGCTTTTAGACATGCACACACAGGCTCTAACGCTCTCATCAAAGCACCACCGAGAAATCCGTCTGTTTCCAAACCGGCGCGGCGTCATGCAAAGCAAATTGGTCAAATAATCTGTAGCCATATTGCCCATTTCACCACAATCCGATCACCCCGTGCATGGGGACCATAGGAACTGAAAACGGAGCCGTTGAGCATGGTGATTAGCAATCTGAGCACTCCCCAGTGGGCTTCTCGTCCCAGAGTGAAAGGGCAGAGAGCCCAACCCCAGAGACAGCGTCTCGGACTGGGACTGTACCATCAGCCTGCTGCTCCTCATGCCGTTGCTGCTGCCACTGCTGCCTTCGGAGAGTTTTACGTTTGGCGTAATCGTGGTCAAATGGCGTGGCCACGTAAGGAGGGGATGTCAGACCTGGGGTGGCAGCTGAGGGGAGTGAGGTGCTGTGGACATTGCCTATGCAAGCCGAGGAGCAGTTAAAGTCTTCATCCGTTATCGAGGAGGGTTTCTCTCTGAAATGAAAACAGAACAACAACGATGGCTCAACTCAGAAATCCATTAGAATTTTGTTTGAGGCTTTGGTGAGTTCCATGTACAAATATCTTACTTCTCATTGGATCGAGGCAAAGTTGGCATGCTCTTTTCTTCCCCCTTTGCAAAAGGCCCGGTAGCTGCCTCAACCAACAAGGTAAATAAGTGCTCATGCTCCAGGTCGGGCTCATCAGCTTCAAGTAATTTAAGGATGCTCGCACTCAGGCGGAAGTGCAGCTAGAAGAAGTTTGGAAAACAGGTTTAACGCTCAGAAGTGTGAACGCTCAGAAGTGTGAATTACCTCTTAAATACATCTCATTGGTGTGACTTGACTAAAGCTAGCAGCCACTGACAGCTCACCTCCAGCGCCTCCATGGCTAGGTCAGGAGGATTATGGTAATGAATTTTCCGGGGATACCTGGCAGCTTCTTCGTGCAGATAGTTGGCTGCCTGTAAATACAGAAGACAGAACACAATTTAACATAACTGAATAAGTCAAATGAAGCACGAGGAGCAGGGACAGACTACAGCATCAGGGTTCACTGCGTGCACACAGCCGACCTCCACCACAGTGCCTTTCATACGGATCACCTGACAAAGGGGGGCCCCGAAACCCCCCCCATCTCGAATGCTGATGAGATGTGATGAGCAACTAAAATGAGACTATAGGATATCGTTTTGAAAAAGAAAGACATGACTGGAGCAATACAACGGATGCAGCTCACAATACTGAGTGCATCACGTTTTGAGAGCAGAAATCCCTCTTTTTACCTTCTTGTAAAGCTGCAGATATTCCACAGGAGGATTTTTGCGTTTCTCTGATATCTTCCCCAGCATGTAATGAATAAGCCACTCTTCCTCGTCACTGTCACCCTCACAGCGGGAGGCCCCCTGGAAACACTGAAACGACGTCTCCAACATGGCGTCTCTTCTTTCCTCCATCTGAAACAAAAACACGCCACACAAAAGACACTTTATGAGTCATTTATCTCACGGCGACAAATCAATTAAAACCGCGTAAAACTCCAGTGCGAGGACGCCCGGGTGACAGGAGCAGGCTGGGGAGCGTCCTTCACAGGAGTTGACACAGCATGAACTGAGGTGGGAATTAGGAAAACAGAACAGAGGAGAAAGGCTCACCTGCTTAACGACCTCCGGAGGAAGCTCGCTGCGCCACTGCTTGAGCTGCCGCGAGGCAAACGAATGCAGCGCGTACGATATGGTGCCGTACTCGATCCACAGGGACAGGTTGGAGGAGTCTATCTCCAGGGCCCTCTTAAAGCAGTTGAGCACAGCCTGCGAGTGCTTCCATATGGGTACGTCGCTTTTCAGCTCGTTGGAATTTAGCTTTTCTTGGATTCGGCTGGCCCTGGCCAGAGCCATGCCCGCCCAGGAGTCGAACCTGAGGACAGTAGGGTTCTGCGTCATTTTAAAATATTTACAAATAGAACTCAAATTGAAATGCTTTAGCACAGACCTAAGTAAAATATTAAAAACTGTAACCATGGCAGAGAAAGGAGCTACCTGTTGGGAAAGACGCATATGTCATGCATGTAGAACTTAATTGCTTTGGACTGCTCCTTGTTCTTGAAATGATAATCAGCCAGGAGGTAGTAGATTTCATTTATGATTAGAGGTGCAGGGACACTGCCCACGGGAAGGCATGGGGCCTTAAAGAGATTCAAACAAAGCATGCTTTCAGTCCTCTTGCTTCACTCAATGACAAGCCAGCAAATGAAAAAGAGATTGTTTGGTATGTCTGACTCATTGGAGCTTCTCATTTTCAGCGTGCTCCCACTGACTGACCTTTTCTGTCATGCCTTCGATGTAGGCTGCTACTTCATCCATGGTGAGAATGGGAGTGTCACTTGTGGGGGCTATGCCGACAAACCTCCTCAGCAGGTTGGCGAGCTCCGCGGACACGGTGCTCGTCTTATAGCTGTCGAACTCGGGCAGCGATTTGGGCTTGAAATACTGGAACATGAAGAGGGCGTCGCCCCACTGAAGCTCAACCTGCACGACACAGCAGTCATTCGTGAGTTATGGGATTTCAGCACGGTGCAGCAGAATATCAGAGCCCCTGTAACTAGGAGCTGTTGCACTGCAATGGTCCACAATGACAGAATTCTGTTAGTACACGCTGACCCCCACCTGCTGGCTGGATGCATGTATTACACAAACAAACAGATCAGACTCAGATCAGGTGCTGCACACATCAGCCTCCCCCTATAAAGGTTTTTAAACGTTCTCAAATTGTGGGCACACGGGCTAAAACAAGTCATTGGAGCCCTTCCTCAGTGCCAGCGGCAGAGCCTCTCCCACCGGGAGAGGAGCCCGTAACCATGGCATCGCGAGGGGATAGCATTACACTGTGTCCTGGATAACATAACAGTCTCTGATGAGCTTGAATCTCAGCGGTAATTAAGCTATCATTTCTGACGTGCGTGGATGTCAGCCCTGCACGGCAGAGTCGGAGCTTCCACAGACAGCAGTGATCAATCAGTCTCCTCTGTCTTTGTGTGCCAGTTGTTGCTGCCAGCGTCCGGGTGACAAGCTGCAGTTAGCACATGTGTGTTTTGCCGCTAAGACGACGCGAGCTGTAGAAACGCGTGTACGTTATGAGAGGAAGAGTCCATCAAGCGCTAAATGACAGTAGGAGGCTCTCCGAGTCGCTACAAACAACAGGTTTGTCGCTTGTGGATCATCGGAAACTCTTCACATTTCTAATTGATTGAGTTTGTGCTTTTATTAAATCAATGCTATTACTTGTTCTTTATTTCAGTGGCACCTGATCAGTGTACGTCACCGGCAAAAAAAGGACAAACAACTTCTTAAATAAGATCAACGAGGGGCAGTTATTTGCATGGTCAGCAATCTGCTTCTTTTCAGGCACCCATCTTACATAAGTTTGAAAACAACACTGAGTAATTGTACCGATTAGTCAAAGCCTTAAGCCACCTCTTCATTATTTCACCGCCTCTTCATTGCCATTTGGCAGCTCAGCTACGTTCACCCTTTTGAGCTTAATAACTTCAGTTAAATATCACGCTGGTTAAAGCAGGTCCCGCAGACCTGGAGGATATTAGAGAAGTAGACTCTGACAGCCTAACGCTATGTCAAGCTCACACAGCAAAGTAAAGATATGACCTGTGGAGACGAGTGGTCCTCAAGGTAACGGGCTTTGCTCTTTTTACTGGGGTAGGCGTAGAGACAGAAGAAGCATTGTTCCAAAGCCATCTCCAGCTCCTCCTTATAGGGATGGGAGTCAGCGCTGGCGGAAGATACAAACTCCTTTTCCAGAACTCGAACCTACACCAAACAAAACGCGGATCAGATGGAGGAGTCAGTCAAATATACATTTTGGTCGCGCACACAATCCAAATTGAACAGTATTTTAGGGTTAGGCTGCAATCGCACTTACAAAGAACTTGAGGAGTGCGCCGTCTGAGCTGCAGCAGAGCGAACGACGGCCCAGATACTCATGAGCCGTGTTCAAAAGCATCAGCGAGGAGGGCAGCATGGGAGCCTCCGCCTCGTCTGGAAATGAGACTTCAAGGTTTCAAAAGTGCACCGATACTGAGGGGGGGGACTAAAGTCACGGAAAAAACAAGGCGCACAACAAACCTTCATCGTCATCTAACGACATGTGCTGCCGGAGCATACAGTTGAAAGCGGCCTCCTCGTGTTTGATGATGCGATACAAGAGAATCCACGGCTGAACTGAGAAGAAATAAGGCTCCTTGGGATCATCCGAAACGTTCATGCTAAGATCGATCAGCTGGAAAGCAAACACAAATTAGGAACCCGCAAATCCTAATCTGATTGGACCGGTCACATCAGTCCGTTTTCTTTCACTCCCTTCAAACCTGAATTAAGTTGTTTGCGAGCCGTGCCATGCTGGAGAGGTGGGGGACGTTGTTCAGGAGCTTGGCCTCTTTAGCGAAGCAGACTTCAATCCCGTCCAGCAACTTTCCAATGGTGCTGACCCACTCCTCCTTGCTGGGCGGGGAGCCGGCTGAGGCGCAGTTGAGCTGCTGCAGAGCCTCATTCAGAGCCAGCTCGCTGCACTCCAAACACTGCTGGTGGTCCTGCAGCTTCAGCAGAGAGTTCTAAGGCAGAGAGTCAAAACTCAGAGCATGTGGAGATACACGCGTCCCGTTTCAAACGTTCTGCGAAGGAACACTGACCAGGTGCCACCATGAGCATAACAAAAACATGATTGTACAGGCTTCATCGTTACTATTAATCTTGAGGCTGTTGACTTGTTCCTGTGGGGGAAGGTTTTCGTGCACACCTGTAGGAGCATCAGCTGTGCAGGACGCTCTGGTGCTGAGCTCACAAACTCCAAAGCTTTGCTCCTGTTTCCATAATTAAGAGTGGGCTGCAGTAGGCGTACGACTGACTCGAAGTCTGCGGCCTCGAACAGACGCTGGATCTCCTCTAAAGACTGACAACGCTCCAGGGACTTCAGCCTCTTATCAACCTGTTCACAGGAAAAAAAAGAAATTAGACAAGGGAGGTAAAAGGTAGAACGCCGACAAGTGTTTTCCGATGACACTGACCTCCTCCACAGATATGGCCGCATCTCCACGGAGGTTGGGCAGGTTGATTGTGTAATGTTTCCCATCTGCCGACTTTGGTTTGCTCTGCAACAAGCCTATGCATACATCGTAGCTCTCCAGGGCCAAGTCCATGTCTCCCTGTCAACAGGGAATAAGCCGGGCCTCTCAGCTCACATATGAATGACGCATGACATATGAAAAGGACTCCTGCCACCAAAAGCAAAGCAAGGACAAAGGAGAAATGACTGGCTTTACCTGGAGGGTCAAGAATCGTGCCTTTAGCCAGTAGACGCGCACCATCACAGCCAACCAGTCGTTCTCAAAAATGTCTTTTTGGGAAGAACCGAGGGCTAGGAGAAATATATCGCTATGGAAGTGTGAGCCAGGGAATTCTGCGTCTGTTGCATCCTTGCTGGGGCTCCCACAGCTTCTTCTTGGAGTAACTAGATAAACACACAATTTTCTTTTTTATTGAGAACTGAAATGTAAACAAAGGTATTCCAGTAAATCTAAGAAATCAAAAATGGAAGGCAATAAACAACAGACAATCATGTGTGTCATGATTCGTTTTTCATAGTTGCTTAAGGAGATGAGGGATGTTTTTTTCAAAGAAATGTAAACACATCCATCAGGTTCCTGTTTGGACTCGAAGTCTGACTGATAACACTGAACATCGAAACCAAAGACTGGCAGCTCCTCTCTGAGCCGCGCAAAAGGGAAAAGATAAGTTGACACACCACTTTAAAAAAAATCAAAGAGCCAATTGCTATTCCGAAAGAAAAAAAGAGACATGATGTGAGGGACTTCATTGACTTACTGGTCTTCCCTTTGTTGTGTAACCACTGCTCCAACTCCAACTCCATACAGGCCAAGCTCATTGCCATCATCTCCTAAACATGTGGGACACGCAAAATCATTTAACAGAGAGAAAGTCACTTTAAAAAAACATAAGAGCATATATTTTTCAAAGTTATCGGCCTTTAACTGGATGTTGGTGGTTCAGCTCGTCCAGCCTTTCCAATTGAGTCCTAAACACCATGATCAACAAATGCTAAATAATTCACTGATTGTTTGTTTCTTCTTGGGCCTTGGGGAATAAAATAAAATCAATCATCCTTTCTCTCACTCTCATGTTACATTATCAGTCACAGAGCCTGTGCTCCAGCCTTGTTTTGCAGAGCTCCAGATTCAGGCATAAAAGCTCTCTGTCACATGCGTGAGGATTCCATATCTCACATCCTCCCACTGCCCCCCCCCTCCATTAGTATTTTATATAAAACTATAGAGTGTGTGACTTTGAGCTGGGGATGAAATGACACTTTAATTATAATTATAATAAACAATCCCTGAGCTGTAATTACCACAAAGACATGCAATTTATTATGACATCGGATCAAACCTGCTGGAATAGTGAAAAGTAATTCCTACTCCAATGTGAGGACTGAGTTGGGGGAACCAAGTTTTTTTTTTTTAGTAGAACTGCTCATTTTCATCACATCTGAGGCAAAAAAAGGATGACCTAATAAGTGTATCTTAAAAAAATGGGGAAACTAATATCTTAGGTGAGTCATGCAAGTCCTCCCGTGAACAACTTTTGCAGTCATTTACCCGGATGTGTTGGTTGCTACAGTCCCGAAGGAGAGGGTTGGGTAGGCCACTGCTGTGCTTCCTCCAGGTCTGATAGACCTCCAGCACCACGGCGGTGAGCCCCCGAGGCCACTTCTCCATGAACTTCTGACCCATTGCTTTCAGGTAACGCATCATCAGATCCAGAATCCCGCCATTGCTCATATTATTGAGCAGGAAGCTGTGGACATCCTTTTGCTCTATGGAGAAAAAGGCAAAGACGATTCGTATTCCAGTATTCCAGAAATGCCAAGACAGAATGACACCTGGGAGGGAAATAAGGCCTACCAGATTCCATGAATTCAACCGAGTCAACTGGCACACAGCTTCCGTGCATAGGCTGAATGTCCTCCTTCCCATCACACTGTGTCTCAAGATTACTGAGGCTCTCATCATCATTATCTGGGTCAAACTTCTGTAGCCTGCAGCAAATCGGAACAATAAGTTTTAAAATGACAGTTTTAACCTTCAGTGCTTTCAGTCAAAGTTGTACTAACAAATACCTGGATGGTAAGTATTTAAAAAGCAGCTCCTGAAAATCGATCTTCTCTTCTTTTTTGCATTTTGTGTTTCGAACGCGTGCCGACCGACGCTTTGCCGTCTCGCCGCTGTCCTCCACAGTGCGCTTCCTTTTTGGAGCCTTCTTTGATTTGTCCGACAGGGAAAGTTCCATTCCTGTAGCTGTAGCCCCACAGGAAGGTTAAAGGGGGTTGCTTCATTTTGAGACTCCAGACATCACAATCATAAAGGAGACTAAATAAAAAATAACTCAATAAATCCCTTCATAAACTCACCAGCAGGGGGAGGACAAGTAGTGATCTCTACTACCGCCTGGCTCGTTGCGATTTGAGGTTGAGGGGCAGACTGGGGCAGCACTGCCGGCTCGGAGAAGGCCACTGGTGGCAGGGAGGAACTGGGGCTGCTGCTCAGCACCAGGGTTTGAGCCATGCTGACAGGACTGCTGGGTTGGGGGAGGTAATGCGGCAGATTCGGCTCCCGGTACTCTGACAAGTCGATTCTGCGGCCCAGACTCGGGCGCGGCGGCTCGCACGTGGTCTGATGTTTGTACATCTCAAGGAAGCTTTCACCAACGTGCTTCCATCTGAGAATAAGCAGAGGAGACACCTCTGATTCACAGATATGCTCTCCAAAAACTAAAGGAACAAATGAGCTTAACAGTCACAATAAGACACGACAACTCACGAGAGGCAGCGGATAGGCTGAATCAGGACAAGGTCTGGCTTTGGTTCGCAGTGGGACAGAGCCTGCCTGCGCCTCCTTATTTCCAGCGCCTCCTCCACAATGGCCCTGCGCTCCTCTTCTTCCACCTCTACATAATGAATCGACACGTCGCTGCAAACAGCCCACAGCACATGAGGCGCTTCACTTATGTGGGGGCGCAATGATGCAGCAGCCAGTGAACAACATAGAGAAGGAAACATCAAAAAGTGAGCTGCTTTCACCATTTCATGAACATCTGCATCGTGTCCCTTTTCAAACAAGGCTGCTCCTGGAAGATTTTTTCCTTTAGTACCAGGGCTTTAGTGTAGCAATGGTCCTTCTCCAAGGATTTGGCAATGTAGTACAAACAGCCTGGAAAAGAGCAGACGATGGTTACTTCTCGGTCCAAACCTGGGCTAACGAGCAATAAGCTTAACAAAACAAAGTGCGCACAGCTGTAGTCACTGAGTATGTAGAGAATAGTAATGAGGTTGTCCAGGCACGGCCAGTGGTCTGGGTTACAGTTCAATCCCTCCTCAAATGCATGACGGGCAAGAGGGATGCGCACAAGTCGAACAGCCACCTGACCAATCTTATACCACATATTCACATCCGTGGAATCCAATATTACTGCCTAAAACGAGAGGAAATGAACATTATGTGAACACTCATCAGTGTTAATGAAATAAAACCATGGATTACACAAAGAGGCATGTAACCAAGGGATAAAGATGATGCTGTCGTTTTTTTTTTTACCTCTAAATAAAATTCCATGGCCGTTTCTAGGTCATCTCGAGACGCAGACATGGTGGCCAAGTTTTTAAAAGTTGAATACTTCAACATCAGCCCGGGATGTTTGAGGCCAACTCTCTGATCATCCGAGGGCATGGCCTTCGATAGGACATGTTACATCAGATTAGGCACCATGTAAAATGCAAGGAGGCAATGTGAACAATGACATATGAAGCTCTCATCAGAGAATGAGATTTGTGTACTGTTAGAAGAATAATGATACAACAAAAGCTGAACAAATGTCACCCAATCAGGGTTTCATACTATCATAAAAGTTATCTGTGATGCAGAACTGCAAATCTGGAGCTACATAAAAACCTCCAACCGATTACTTTTGCGCTGTTAAAATATAAACAGGACGACATAATGTACTGTTTTTTTACCTCTTTGAGCAAAGGAGTTGTAAGAAGCTCATGATAGGCTTTGGCAGATTCCTCAAAGTTGTCATGTTTTTGCAGATCTAAAGCTTTGTGATACAAAGCAAAGGCCTCCGCTTCCTGTGGAGAGAAACATCGGAAAATTAGACATATTCACATGAACTGACTATGCATTAAGTAGCACGCCTCAATGTTACTACTTCAGCCTCATATCATCTGTACCTGAGCCTCTTTTGTCTGACTCTTGTTGGTTCTCAATGGGTCTTGAGATTCATCTGCAGCTGTCGAAGCAGCATTCAGCGCTGCAATGCGAATCTGTAAAGAGCAACAGGAAACAGAGGAGTAACAACTCTTTAGCATTACTGCAACACAGATTGAGAGAGCAATGTACACTTAAACAAAATGCTTTTTTATTTATTTATTACCATTTTAACATCTGGAAAGCAGATATATCGCCTTCAAGGTTTGCAGATTTGACCAGTTGTGCAGGAACTGCAAAGTTCAGGGGGAGAGAGGAAATTATATGAGAACTGACAAACTTTAGCAAGAAATACAAGATGACACGAGGACCGAGCTAGAAATGAAAAACTAATGTACATTTCAACATGCAAAGCTGGACTAATGTCTTCTGAGAGGCTCTGTGTTCAATATACTTTGTCTGAGGGAATGCCACGAAAAAAATTATCCTCAAAACGGAGAACACATCGAGGAAACAAGAGTTAATATGACACAATTCCCCAAACAGAGGCACTTGGAGATCACTTGCTAAACTAGCCTGGTTAGCTGAAAGATTAGTATGAATTTAATAGAGCTCAGTTGGATTTAGGCAAGCGCAAATGAGTTCATAAATATAATCAATACTGTGGACAGTATATCGACATGTACCACACAGATGATGCAGCTAATTGAAACAACTGACAGCTCAAATCGTTACTTCAGCTAGCTTCAATCTATAAAGAAATTATGGAGGCTAACGTTAGCTTGTGTTTCACAGGGCATCACCCCCACAGCAAGCCGACATACCGTTCATTCCCGGTGTAACTGCATGGTTTAAGTGGCAAATGCATGAGCAAGACTTTACACCCTAAAATGGCAGCGATAATAAATCGCAAAGGTATTTTAAAACTAAATTTATAAACATCCTTTGTTGTTATAAGACATAGATATGACGCGCGTGCGTCATAGGAAGACGTTTGCTCCCCGCCAACAAGTAAAGTCGTCAGTTATTGGTCAATGCGCAGTGGGTGGATTCATTTGTCCAATAAAGTATTCAGATATTAGATATGACCCTTTTCAACGTTCTCTTCTGATATGTAGTTAGTTTTAACGAGGAAAATAAAAAAAAAATATATATATATGTGTGTGTGTGTGTGTGTGTGTGTGTATATGCAGAGAGAGAGAGAGAGAGAGAGAGAGAGAGAGAGAGAGAGAGAGAGA